GTAAGAGTCCAAGTTTTCCCAGGTGTTACAACTAGAGGTTGATGCTAGTGGACAAGGCTGGAGCTGAAGCCAGGACTAGAAAACAGAATGTACCTGTGGTTATTGGCTGACAAGCAACTCACAGAGACCCCGTGGCGACTGGGACCTAACAAGCAGAACCAAAACAAAACATCAAAAACACCAAAAACCAAAACCAACAAAACAATAAATATGCCTTTAAAAAAAATCAGCATGAAAGCTGTAATGTGACCCCCAAGTCACGACCTTAGCCACTGCTGCATCAGGACCACAGACCTAGACATACCCAGCAGCAGCAGCAGTACCTTGGTGCAAGTTTCACATGGCCTCAGGTGGCAGCACAGGCCTCTCAGATTGGAATGTGCCTATCAGTAGAGTAGTCTCTAGACTCCAACATGGCTCCAGGTAGAGGGCCAGACCCAGCACAGTGGAACACCTTTGATTGTAACAGGAGCCAGGGACATCAATAGACCCTGGCACTGATAGGGCCATGAACCCATACATGGCCTGAGGCAGTACCTTAGGCCTGGATGATACTCTGGTCCCTACCCAGATCAGTAGAGCCTAGGCAACTGCATGTTGCCTTATCCCAACATGGACACAGGTGGTGGCCCAGAACCCAGGCATCCTTGTGGCCTTTGGTGGCAACATGGGCTATGGACATCAACACAGACATGGTCCCTGGCAGCACTCTAGGCCTGGATGTCCCCATGGACCCTGGTAACAGCTCAGGCTCCTCAGACTAGCATCACCAAGCTGAAGGGTGGCCCCCACACATCAACATGGCCCCAGGTGGTAGCCCATACCCAAGACATCTGCACGGCCCTTGGAGGGCAACAGGTGCCATGGACAACAACATGAACCCGAGCTGCATAAGGCCATGGATTCAGACATGGGCCTCAGCTGCAGCCCAGCCTGGTTGCCTCCATGGCCCCCAGGAGACAGTGCAGACCACTGAGATTGGGGTGGCCCCTGCAGTGGCCACATGTGGTGGCTCAGGCCCCGGTATCCTCAAGGTGTTCAGTGATAACAGGAGCCATAGACAACAACACAGACCAGGACTGCAGCAGGGCCATAGGATCCAAACATGCCCCTTGGCAGCAGCTCAAGCCCGGATGTCACCATGGCCACGATGGCAAGCAGACCATTCCATTCCAGGAATGTCCTTCATCTTCTAGGTCCTAATGGTGCCTGGCAGGTCAGTAGTTTTTCTTCCCCGCCTTGAACAAGTGACCCCAGCACACAGCCTTTCTACAGACTATTTCTCAGTTGTCTTCTGTCCCACCATTCTGGCCCCAGACAAGTCCCATGCAAGATAATTCATACTCTATTCATTTCCACATTTTATTAAAGTATTTCAAGACAGGATTTCTCTTTGTAGCTCTGGCTGTCCTGGAGTTCACTCTAGACAAGGGTGGCCTCAAACTCACGAAGATCCGCCTGCCTCTGCCTCCTGAGTGCTGGGCTTAAAGGCGTGCACCACCACTGCCTGGCCATTTCCTCAATTTTAAATATGAATGGTGAAGACCTTTCACTGGACATTTGAAGGAAGCTTCCAGTATGAAACAAAGATTAAGAAAGCTGATCTGGAGGCTTGGGAGGTAGCTCTGTGGTGGAATGTTTGCCAGAAAAGAGGGAGAAGGACAGGGTCATACCTTGTCTGGTTAAGAGATGGATTCTACTTCACAGGTGGATGGATACAACAAGTGCAAGCCTACACACTCACTAACAGGCAGGAGGATTGTCGTGGCAACTGTGAGGGAGATGGATAAACACAGTGAGAAGAAAGCTGGGAACATGGAATCAGCTTCCAGTTGCTTCCTTCAGGGAAAGTGCAGAAGGCCTGGAATTCTGGAGAGAGAGGAGGAATCAACACTCTCTGGAGTGCTGGGAGGAAGAAGTTTAGTGTCCACAGAACAACCATGTCCTCCTGGTACACCACTTCCCATCCTAACGTACCACTCTTTGTATAAAGCTGTAGGTTCAGACCAGCAGTCATGGCTCAAGGAAAAATGTTATGGAAAAGGGTTTGTTTTAAGCCAAATCTTGGTCTTCAGAGGACGCCATAGCACCCAGGGCCTGCTGTGTTCACTGGAAAGGGTACTAGGAACAGGGTGTCAGTTCTTCGTGAGAGTTTACAGAGGGAAATGACCACTCTTGAAGGATAGAGTGGGCAGTCACATTAGTAGGCACGGTGAGCTCCCTGAGATTCTACAGAGTCAAGTGGGTAGGATAAGAACAGGTTAGCCATGCTGAAAGCTGAGTGTTGGTGAGTGGTATCTGGATAAAAGAGAGGGAAGGTTCTACAGTGGTGTCCGGCTGGGGAGATGACAGGTGTTTGGTTGTTGGCCATTTAGTTACTGAGTTATTGATGTTAGCAATCCATTCCTAGAAACAAAACAGTGATGTAAAGGACTGAAAACAAGCCGGGCGGTGGTGGCGCACGCCTTTAATCCCAGCACTCGGGAGGCAGAGGCAGAGGCAGAGGCAGGTGGATCTCTGTGAGTTTGAGACCAGTCTGGTCCACAAGAGCTAGTTCCACGGCAGCCTCCAAAGCCACAGAGAAACCCTGTCTCAAAACACCACACCAAAAAAAAAGTCCTGAAAATAAAGATATGAGCTCTGATGGGCAGAGAAAACCAAAGGAGGCATGGTCATGCTGACACCATGAAGGGGGTGACACAAGTTGAAAGCATCATGAAGGATACGAAGGGACTTACATAAGGCATAATTTACAAAACAACAGATAAACCCTAGCCCCATGTGAACACAGATATAGTAACTAAATATTTGAAGAACGCACTTTGGAGAAACAGAGAAAGTCAAGCTCTTTACTGACTTTGCATCTTATGTGTACATGTAGATACCACCAATTGTCCGGCATGAACCACAAAGGATTTATGTATTTGTTTGTTTATGTATTTATTTTTGGTGAAGTTAAATGTACTCTAGAATTTTTTAAAAAATCTAATTATGAGCTGGAGAGATGACTCAGAGGTTAAGAACACTCCTTGCTCTTCCAGAGGTCCTGAGTTTGGTTCCCAGCATCCTCATGGTGGCTCACAACCATCCGTAATGTTGCCCTCTTCTGACCTGCAGCATACATGGAGGCTGTCCTGGAACTAGCTCTTGTAGACCAGGCTGGTCTCGAACTCACAGAGATCCACCTGCCTCTGCCTCCCGAGTGCTGGGATTAAAGGGGTGCGCCACCACTGCCCGGCAAGACACTGACTGTACTGTCTGGTTTTGTGTGTCAACTTGCCACAAGCTACAGTCATCAGAGGGGAAGGAGCTTCAGTTGAGGAAATGCCTCCTGAGATTCAGCTGTAAGGCATTTTATCATTTAGTGATCAATGGGGGAGGGCCCAGCCCATGGTGAGTGGTGCCAGACCTGGGCTGCTGGTCCTGAGTTCTATGAGAAAGCAGGCTGAACAAGACATGAGAAGCAAGCCAGTAAGCAGCACCCCTCCATGGCTGCTACATCAGTTCTTGCGATCCTGCTCTGCTTGAATTCCTGTCTTGACTTCCTTAAGTGATGAACAGCAAATGGTGACGTATAAGTCAAATAAATCCTTTCCTTCCCAACTTGATTTTTGATCATGGTGTTTGATTGCAGCAATAGAAACCCTAAGACATTAACACTGGTAAATGATATAAGAACTTTATTATGCTGAAATAGTGTCCGTGACAGCAAATCGGGCAGGTAAATACAGGTAACTTGATGGCAGATTTCAGGCAGAGAAGCCAGTGTGTGCCTACACCAGGCTGAAAAAGCACAGGCCCTGCCTAGAAAATAGGAGTGTGGTCTCACTGTATAGCCCTGGCTCTCTGTCCTTCTTTACGTCTTCTTCCTTCTTCTCACTATGTAGTTCTGTCAGGCCTGGAAAACTCTATGTAGACCAGTCTGGCCTTGAACTCACAGAGATCTGCCTCTGTCTCCTGAGGGCTGGGATTAAAGGAGTGTGCTACCATGCCCAGAATGTTACATCTTAAATGAGTAAGAAAAATTAAGTGGGTTTGGCTCCAACTAGTAACGAACTAACATTTTTGCTTCTGGTTTATATATAGAACCCATATACCTCACTGCATTAAAACCCTTTCTTCTTTAAACCTGCTTTCACGTTTCCTTATCCTGGGCTTTTTTTTTTTTTTTTCTTCAATTCTGGCCCCAAACTTCAAGGATCCGAAGGAACTCTGTTTTAAAGCATTCTTACAGCCAGCTTCTGGTTTACATATTCCTGGGGAATTCTTGACAGCTTACTCGGGTAGCTAGTGCTGCCCCCGAAGCCTTTTGTCTTTCCTGCAACCCCACAATGTGAACTTACTTGGAAATAAGGCCACACTGCACACGTGTTATACTGGAACAAGATGGGCTTTTTAATCCAATAGGATTGATGTCCTTATAAGCCACAGAAACAGGCAGAAATAGGGTGAACACCGTTTGACAACAAAACGGAGTAATGCTGCCCAAGACATAGTATACACATGATTTAAGCAATCATTACAAACTAAGGCAAATAAATCGATCCAAACGACAGAGGAAGCCTGACTCTACCCAGACGCAAATGTCAAATACGTCTGTTATTTAAGTCTTTCAGCATTTGAGGCCTTCTTGGGGTTGCCCCCCCCCCGAAAACTAATCCAAAAGTGATTTTACTTATCTTCTTAGACTCAAAATTAACACATCCCTGACCAAGAAAGGTCGGGATGCTCTCCGTCCCTTCCTCGGTGAAGATGCATGGGCTTGCAGCCAGAAGGAGAAAAGAAGGCTACCGTGTAAAGCCCTACTGGGGTGCAGTGCAGACAATGCTCGATAAGCAGGGTGGCAAGGCTGAACACTAAGAAGCTTAATAGCCGGGGCTGGGTGGCGAACCCAACCAGGAACTGCAAGCCTGGCCGAGATTCTCAGATGCCTATCGCCAAGCAGCGAGCCCGTGATTGGCGCCGCGCTGCTGCGCGAGGCGGGGCTTCCTCCCTTGCCCAAGAGACCGGAAGTGGGCTCATTTTCCACCGGAAGGAGAGAGAAGTTACATGCAGAAGCCAGACACCTGATGCTGGCAGCGCTTGTCGCGTGAAGTTGGGCCAGTATCTGGCCATCTATTGCGGCGGGCGACAGTGGTGTCCCAGGAGGCTGGCTGGAGTGGCAGGCGTCAGAGGAATGGGAGTAGAAGAGATGGGTAAGCTACCCGGGCGCCGATCCCACTCCTCTGTGCTTTTATTTTCTCCGTCTCTTTAAAGAGGGTTGACAGCCCGCGGAGCTGCGGTGGTGAGTAGATGGGCGAGAAGAAATACGCACTCATACAGACTAAACCTTAAGCACACGCACATATGCATTCGTACGTACGTACAAGTGTACATGCATATGCACGAAATAGTCACATTCACAGAGCTGATAAAATGCCTACAAATCAGGCATTCAGAATCGATTCCTCTTTTTTTAGGGAATCACCTGTAGCCGCAGTTTTGTAGCCGCAGTTTTAAGCACGCGTACACACACACACACACACACACACACACACACACGGGCGCAGTTTTAAGCACGCGTACACACACACACACACGGGCGCAGTTTTAAGCACGCGTACACACACACACACACGGGCGCAGTTTTAAGCACGCGTACACACACACACACACGGGCGCAGTTTTAAGCACGCGTACACACACACACAGGAGTTGGTGATTTTTAAACCATTTAATGTTAGAAATGGAACAAGGGCATCTTGGTAATACATCTTATTTCAGCTTGAACGGAAGAGCAGCAGGGAAACTGGTGGGATGTCACACACGGTTTGTGAAGGACAGCGCCATGACTAAAATTTAATTTTTTTCCAGCTCAGAATTCTTGTACATAGCAGTCAATGCAAATTGCTTTAAAATTGCTTTCAGATAGTGTGGGTATCTGGGAGGAGGTTATAGAGACTTGACGGAGTGAAGGGTTGGCGAGGTGCATTTAGCTGCCAGTTTAATGGCTCGGTAGTTAAGAGCACTCGTGGCTCTTCACAGAGGATCGGACTTTGATTCCCAGCACCCACATCATATTGCTCACAATCAATTGTCTTTGTTTTATAAACAAATGGTTACTGTTGATTTGTGACATGGGCAAAAGTATCACCAGAAAATGCAATAATATGCTTGTATAATTCTAAACACAAGAATACAAATGGGCTTACATTTTTTTTTTTTTTTTTTTTTTTAAAATCTTTTCTTTTCCTGGCCATGTCACTCCTGTCAGGAATTGATGCCAGGGCCTCAAATATGCTAGACAAGTGTACCACCAGTGAGCTAAAACTCCAGCCTTCATGGCTTTTGTTGTCTTAAGTAAATGGCTCAGACCTGTTTCTAGAATCTTACCAGTTCATTGGATTGGTACATGAACCAACAACAGGTAGTCTCCATTTCTGCTCATTCTGTTGGCTAGTTAGCTGTGTCTAACCTTTTGCCGGTAACCATCTGTCTGTGGTTGTTTCTCCTCCCTTCTCTCTAAATAGCTCATGAATTTTTAATTGATAAGTAACTATACAAAAACATGACTATAACTAACTGTAGTTGTTATGTAGGTAGGTAAATGTTTAAAATTTCTTATATGGGGGGTGTGTGGCTCGTGGGTACCTTGTGTGGACAAGACCCTGGGTTTAGTCCTCAGCATGAAGGGTGGTGGTGGGGAGAACTCTTATATGGAAATCTTTGTCAATTAAATGTTAAATTTTTGAGAAATTGGCTTAAGGTACTTTGAAGAGCTGGGAAAATACATTTCTGGCTTAAATTAATGGACTTCAGGATTCCACTATGAAAATTCTGACCACCCACTGCCTTGGTAGAAAAGGATGAGATTTCAGTAATGATGAGTGCTTCTGTTTGATTTATCATCTCAGAGAATACTTAAATTTGGCCAAAGTTTCAGTGGTGGGGATCATGGCATACACCCTTAATCCCAGGATTTGGGAGGTAGAGGCAGGCAGATCTCAGAGAGTTCGAGGCCAGCATGGTCTACAGAGTGGGTTTCAGGACAGCCAGGGCTACAGAGGGGAACCGTCTCAAAAAAATAAAATAAAATAAAAAATAAAAAAGTTGTTTAGAGAAAAGGACTGTTGCTAAGTACTTAGTTACTTTAATTGTTGCTTTATGCCACTTTGTGAGGAAGTTGATAAAATGATTTTTAAAGATACTTCACATTAAGAAGGAATCCAGTAAATAGCTGTGGTCTTTACAAGTTTGTCATTACTTTACAGGGTATAATTTACTCTACAAAAATCTTAGATTGTAAACTGTAGGGATGGTCTCTGTAAACACTAGGCCAGCAGCGTCCGTCCATGTGACTCTGTAGCTGGTGTTGGATCAAACTTCTAGAGTCTGACCCCAAGTGGTTTATTTTAGGCAATTTAAGATAGTACAATTTGGAAAAGAGTTTCCTTGTGTAACACAATCAATCCCGTATGCACAATAAGGCATAATTCCATTGAAACTCTTTTCAAAGTAGAAGTCACCTCTTATATAGAAATGGATTCTATAGATAGACTGCATGTGTTAAGGGCCTTGGGAAGGACCTGGTGTGATTTCAGTTAGATAGTGCAGTGGTTACTAGGCTATTAGCAACTTCCAGTCCTGTTTGTAGGGGTTGTGAGGCAGGTGTGTCCTGGCCTACAGATAGCACAAAGTTCCATCTAGGTCATTAACCACCTATGGTTCAGTTAGTAAGAGTCTGGAGAAGCTCCTGGCCATATAGATAGTGCAGAGGTCACCAGGCTAACCATATTCAGCCTTCTGGGCAGAAAACAGAGGTTGTACATCTCTTCCTTTGAAGACACAATCCTGTGTGTTTGACATTCTTAATTTCCCTAGTGCTTATTTTCGAGCACAAGAACTTTGTGCTCTCTACAGTAAACTAGTAGATAGCCATATTGTTGTGCGGTGCTCAAAAATGTCAGGTAGACAGTTAAATTTAGTGGGTCAGGGGCAACTTGCACACACTGGTCTCCAGGGATTATGAACCAAATTTATGATCTAGAGCATTTAAAATAGCATATCATATATATTTGTGCTATTTTAGGAATAGTCAAAACTATACCAAGTATTAAATGTGTCAGTTTCCTTGTAGTATTGGGGGATCATTCTATGCCACATCCAGCACTACCCTTGGTTCTTCTACACTCGCTCTGCACAAATTAGAAGTCACCACAGTTTCTAATTGGACTAGGTCAGGCCCCTAGGTGTATTTGGACAGAAGACAATTCCTGGTCCACATTTTTACCCTCATCCATCCCACAGCCCTTAAGAGCATTCACTTGACAGCTGCTTTCATTTCTAATGAAAAAGCTCTTCAATTTGTAAGATAATTTGATGTCTTGTTTCTCCCTTCAGGTATGTGAGTCCCTGAAAGCAGAGAGCAGTTCTTTGCATGCTGTGAGCATTCACGGATGATGCAGCCACACCATGCCTCTGACATGCATAATTCAAGTGGAGCAGATACAGGCCTGTGGTTCCAGTACCACCGCTTGAGGATTCTGTAAACGGTGAGTGTGTGGCATGTAGCTCAGCTTGAGACAGGTAGGAATTAGGCAGTGCTTCCCAGGGTTGATTCTGAGCCATACGGGGCATTAGGAGGACAGAGAGGAGGAGGTCCACTCTAGGTGTCTAGGAATCAGTTGATGGTTTATAAAGTATAAATGGTAAAAGGACAGTGTTGAGTATCCTACACTTTTTCCAGAGTGCTGTCTGTACTTTTGGATATTGCTTCTTGTTTCTTCCTTCCCTCTTGCTGCTTCTCTCCCCTTTAGATTAATGTTTAGGGCGTGGAAGGAAATAGAGTAGGTGGCAAAATGACAGCAGGCATATGGAAGAGTAATGTCCACATCTAGTCAGTCCATTTCTAAGATGTCCATTCCATGTTCTTGTTTTGTTAAAGTGGACAACTAGGAACTGGGGTTTTGTTGGCTGGGTGCTTTTTCCAGTGAGTATATTACATCCCTGTCTCTAAACCAGTCTGTTTAAATCTCTTAAATTTCCTTCAAGGAAAAGATCCATATTTAGGCTCAGGAAGGGGTGGGGGGGAAGAGCAGATTTGGGTCCTAGTCCATACTATGGAAGTATTGTGACTTAGTAACTGCATGTTGTTTGAATCAGCTGTAACCTGTTTAATTCTAAAAATTTAAATGAATGATGGTTTAATTCTACCATATTTGAGTAAGAGAAAATAGATTCTGTCAGTCTAAGACTAGGAAGAAAAGTTAGTCCAACTATGGGTTGAGCTTCATTTATTTCCAGGATTGGTGTCAGCAGAGAACAAACAGTGACGTGATGAGACACAATGAACTTGACAAGAACCATGCAGCAATGGCTATTTTTGAGTGGCATTGGTGCCAAGTCATAGGTACCCTCCTTACTAATAACAGATGCTGTCTGGCAAACTGGTGCCTTGCATTTATCTCTGCTAACCACTGGCATTAAGAGAAGCATATCTGCAATGTTCAGATTATGAAAGCCTGAGTTATGAATGATCTTTTCTTTACTATCTAGGAATTTTAAGAACAGTGGTTTAAGAATAGGTTTGTAGTCCAGACTAGCTTTAGACTTGTGGCAGTCCTACTGCTTCAGCCTCCTTAGTGCTGAGATTACTGGGGTGAGCCACCATGACTAACTTTTAGTTTAGTTTCTTCAGATAGGGTCTCATGTAGCCCAGGCTGGCTTCAAACTTGCTATGTAGCTGAGGGTGACCTGAACTCCTGGTTCTCCTGCCTCTACTGTCCAAGTTCTGGGATTACGGGCATGCCCAGCTAGAGAATCATAACGCTTTAAGTGGTGGATTTAGTCATGTTCTTCTGGAGACTAAGAAAACAGAGTCCTTGAAGTCAAGGACTCTGCCTTTAGCCTCCTAAATGAAAAGGTAGATAGAACAGGTCTTGTTTGCAAAATAAATCCAAGACCTACTTATCTACCAACAGCCATTACCTACTTCCTGCTGTCGTACTACAGGGAATGGTTGGCGTGAACTGATAGCTGGGGAAGCTGGAGTGGACACAGTCTCCTCTACTAGTGATAGGGAGGTGCCGAGAGGTCAGACGGGGTTTAGAAAGTTGAGGAGCCGCTCCCTATAGTGCAGGTTTCAAGGATCTTATCATTTACAAAATGCCACATCAGAGTAAATTACACTGTGCACAGCTTCCGGTGAGTGAGTCATGTAGGGTGGTGATTTTACCAGATTTGAGAATGAGAAGTTGAGAATGCCCAACTGCCGATAGTTTTTCTATTATGTACTGACAGCCAAGTACATGCTCAGAAACATTTTACTGCATGTGTGCAAGTGTCTACATCATTAACCAGCAGGGAGCCCCTTATTTTTATTTATGTGGGGCGGGGAGTGAGGAGGGGGTTTTGTGTCTTGGTACACATATGGAGTTCCAAAGACAACTTGCAGAGTCTTTCCTTCCATCACATGGGTTCTGGAGAATGAACTCAGGTCATCAGGTTTGGCAACAAGTACCCAGCCCCAGATGCCAATCAAACAACACTTTTTTTTTCATTCATGGTGACTTATGCCTTGCGATTCCAACATTTGGGAAACTGAAGCAGGAGGATAGCCATGAGTGCAAGGTCAGTTTGGGCTACCTAGTGAGATACTGTCTCAAACAGCCAAAACCAAACCACCACCACCAACGACCAAAAAAAAAAAAAAAAAAAAAAAAAAAAAAAAAAAAAAAAAAAAGACAAAACAAACAATTTAATTTTAACAGAAGTCGATACTATTTTATAGCAAACATTCCTAACTACTTGTTCGTTCTGTCTTCTAAAGGTGTTACATTCTGGACAGTCTAACTACTAAATGCTTGAATGCTTGCTAGTTCCCACCATGGTCCTGTGAAGGCTTACCGACTCGTTCCCCTTTGCTAGGGTGGGGAGCCAGGCCTTGTGTGATGATTCAGTCAGGAGTTACACACTGAGACAGGGAAAGGTGGGAGGAGAGCTGATGTTAGTGTAGTTTGGTTTATCTGCCCAGTATCAGGGATCATGGTCATAGCTGTCTGTTTTTAAAAATACTTTTCTACCCTGGGCATGTTGACAGGAGTTCAAGGCCAGCCAGCCTAATGTTTTTCTTTTCTTTTTCTTTTTCTTTTTTTTAACAGATTTATCAGCAGGTTGCAGCTGAACATGGACATGAGGTAAACCCTGCCCCTGGTTAAAATTTAGTTTAATCAACTTCTGCATGGAATTGTAAGGACATGGACTATATCACAGAATCCAGCAGGTTCCCTCCCCCTTTCTTTAGATTTATCTTTTCTTCTTTAAGAAGATAACATGCTTAAACAAAGTTTCTTTATGGTTAGCAACTGTGATTCTTGAAGTTGGGCAACCCCTAGTTTAAATAAATTTTAAATGTCAAAGATCTAGATATCTTGTTAAATTAAAAAAAAAGTATTAAAATCCTACCAGGTGTCATGTTTTTGCCATTTACCTATGCTTGTCTTCTGTGTGATACATTCCAGGAATCCCACTAGAACTCTGAAGTCAAACTGGCCATGTCTGTGACCCACATTTCCTATTTGGTGGTTTCTATTTCAGTAGCTGAGAATACCTTTCACTATATATACATGCATATTTCATTAGCAATTTCAGCCAATTCTGTGTAAGGTAGGAGGCCCAGCTTGTCAGAGCAGGGTGTGTGTGTGTGTGTGTGTGTGTGTGTGTGTGTGTGTGTGTCAGAGACAGGGTAAGAGACAGAGACACACAGAGAAGCTGTTAAACTCTCTGGGTGGGCTGGAGAGATGGCTCAGAGGTTAAGAGCACTGACTGCTCTTCCAGAGGTCCTGAGTTCAATTCCCAGCAACCACATGGTGGCTCACAACCACATGTAATGCCTTCTAGTCCCCTTTTCTGGCCTGCACTGCAGGCATACATGCAGACAGAACACTGCAAACATAATTAAAAAAAAAAAAAACTCTCTGGGCAAGTGATAATCAGAAGTCTGAACTGCTGCTCACACTAGTATAGTCTTAAAGGAGACAAGAGTTGTTGCTGTGTCAGTATTGAGTGTGCTAGGAAACAAAATTTTGAAGAGAAGGATATTTCCCTTCAAAAAATCCATGAGTGGTCAGAGTGGGACTTGCCTGTGTTGTTTTACAAGTGGAGTTCTTGCTCTGTGGCTGGAGTACTGAGCTTTGACAGTGACATGTGGGGTGTTGGAAATGTGAACCGGGCAGTCAGGAATGCAGGTGATGGAGCCAGGTACCATAGTCACTAAATAGCACCTGAGAGCTGCTGGCTAGAGTGTGTTCTTCTCACCAACACCCAGCTTTGATTTTGGTGGGCTGATGATTACTTTGAAACATCATATATATGTGTGTATATATAGTGTGTGTGCATATGTATGCATATATATATGCATATATATATATATATCTCATTTATTACTTGACACCTCACATCTCTATAAGATAGATACTACATTTCCTTTGTTTGAAGTGAAAACGAGGTCTGTATGGTTTTAAGCAAAGTAGGTACAGAATAGCAATCAGACCCAGTTCTTAGTTTCAAATTTGGCTGCTTACATTTCATGATAATGCCTATAATGAGTCATCACTGTTCTTTCTCATAGCTCCATCTATCCCTGGGCCCTTCCTCAGCACACAAGGAAAACCTCCCATTTGCAAGTAGACTGTGTGTGTGTGTGTGTGTGTGTGTGTGGAATGCTCCCCTAAGCTTCAGGTGCCTTCCATCCTTCCGATCCTTCACATTGCCTCTTAAGGTTTTCTTCTTCCCTGCCATAGGCGCTTTGCTATAATTTTGAAAAAGCCCTGCCATCATTCCCACCAAGGGTGGCATGAAGCCAGACAAAGAAGGTGCTTGTTTACTCAGCACGTGTTAGTGTGCACCTGTTGACACGTCAGCCCCCAAGGCTGAGTTATAAACAAGGCACACACTGTGCTGCCTTTAGGCATCTTAGAGGTAATCTCAAAATTAGAGTGGTGTCAGGACCACTGAGAAGGAGAAGACGGTGTCATAGAACATGTACAGTGGGAGGAGCTTGCCATGCTGCTGCTTTTGTTAGGAAACATGGGGGTGGTGGATGGCTGTCTTAGTCACTGTTCTACTGCTGTGCTAACACTATTTAAAAATTCAAAGTTTCTTCGGAGACTTAGGGCAATCTCTTAACTGTAACTCCCTATAAAATCAAAATCAAAATGCAGATCGCATAATTCCTTCCAACATACAGTGGCACAGAGTATATAGTACCATTCCAGAGGAAGGAAGCAGAGCATAGTGAGGAAATACTGTACCGACGCAAGACCTAAGCCCAAAAGCTAACTGAATTCTGCATCTGCATGTCTAATGTCAAAGCATTCTTCATAACTCCAATGCCTTTCGGTCATATTGACTGCAACACACTTCTTTCTCCTGGGCCTGTTAGCAGCTCTCCTTGGCAGGTATCCCATGACATCTGGCATCTCCAACATCTTTTGGTTTCCAAGCTAATCAGGTGTCAACCTTTACAGCTTCACATTCTCTGTGGACCTCCATGCAGGGAAAGTCTGGCTTCAGTGGCTTTTCTTAGCTGTGGATTCCACAACCCCTTGTATTCTTGACTCTAAAGCCAGAACCACATTGCTGAAACTGCCAAGTTCTAAGGCTTGATGGGGCTGGATCATGGCCCCTTCCATCAATTATATATGCATCAGCTTTCTGTTGCTGACAGTTTCCTTCACTGCTTAAGCTTTTCTTTAATTACATTCACAAGTTGGAAGGAAGCTTAACTAGGTGGGGTCTTGCCCTAAGGTCAGACTTTTAGGGCAAGGCCAACAAGCAGCCACAGTGTTTGCCAAAATAGCCCAAGAGTGGTCTACAGGCCACTTATTAATGTTCATCCCTCTCAAATCTCTTGATCTGGGTCCCCACAGTTCAAATCACCCTCAGCACTGTCTTCCATATTCCTCCAATAAACAGCTTGGGCAGGCCTTTCACAGCAGTACTCCAGGCCCTGGTACAACTTCTGTCTTAGTCACTATTGTATTGCTGTGAAGAGACACCGTGACCAAGACTACTCTTATAAATGGAATAGGGGCTTGCTTACAGTTTCACATGCTTAGTCCATTGTCATCATGGCAGGAAGCATGGCAGCACTGATGGGACTGGAGCAATAGCCGAGAGGTACATCCTGATCCGCAGACAGACAGACAGACAGACTGGACCTGACATGGGCTCAAAGCTCACCCCCAGTGTTATGCTTCCACCAACAAGGCCACACTTCCTAATCACTCTAATCCTTCTCAAATATTGCCACTTGTGATGACTAAGCATTCAAATATATAAGCCTGTGGGGGCCATTCTTACTCAGTTTACCACAATGGCCTTGAGATTTGTACCTGACTTCCTTGTATTTCTTCAGTTTCTTGCCTTCTCAGGCTTGTTCTGGTTAAACAGTGAAATGTCACAAATGTGCAGGGGCCACTGAAGCCATCATGACTTCCTGACCCTATCCCTAGGTCTATAGGCTTAGGGGACTCAAAATACTTTACATATCCACAAACAGACAAGTGCAATTTGACCCCACAAGAGCCCGCTAAGTTCAGAGTCTAGCTCCTCATCAGACAGCCTGGTATGATAATAGCTCCCCTGGCATCATGCAGGGAACAACACACAGAATGAGTCCACATCAGGGGAAATGGCCCCAGTACACCATCTATCAAACACTAATGGGAACTTTAGCTTGTGCTGGTTACAGGAAACTTGAGTACCAAGTTCAGCCAGCGAGGCGAGAGTGGCTGAGGGAGAGGACAGAAACTAAGAAGGGCCTAAAAAAAAGTGACATGCTTTGGCATTGAAATGCCATTGCAGATCTTTAGGCTTCCAGGCTTTTCCAAAGAAAAACAGGGATGCACGAATTGGTGGAGCTGACAGCTGAATGTGTATAGGTGCTGAGCAATGTCCACATTGAAAAAGGACAGCTTGGAGTTTTCATAGTCCAGCAGGATGCCGATCTTCTTTGGAGCAACTGTGATTCGTATATCTGGAGTTGTCCTGTTGTGCAGAAACTCATACTGGTGCCTGAAAATTCAAAGTTGTTTGTTACAGCAGAGTTTTGGAAACTACAGTGAGCTGTTTGCAGTGTTTCATGCTGACTTGATTTATACTCCTATGACTTTGTCTCCTTCTTGTAGTCAGCGACTACCAAGTAGCATGACATTTCCAAAACTACTTTTTCTAACACTTGTCCTAAAACAGTTTCAGACTTTCTTCTTGAGTGAATCCTGCACCCAAAAAGCTTTTATACAGAACCATGAACTTCCACTGCATCAGACTGTACAGCAAGAAAAAAAATTTTTTTTTTTTTTTTTTTTTTGGTTTTTTGAGACATAATTTCTCTGTGTAATAGCTCAACTGTCCTGGAACTCACTATGTAGACCAGGCTGGCCTTGAACTCACAGAAATCCACCTGCCTTTGCCTCCTGAGGGCTGGGATTAAAGGTGTGTGCCACCACCACCTGACTAAGAAAAAACATATGAAGTCAGTGTGTGACTCATTTGGAGTAAAGACGTTTGAAACGGAGCCCTGTGGGCCTTCATGAGAAACAGGCTTTCTCTATACACTGAACCATGATTCCATGAGATCCAGTTCTTAACTTATAGCTGAGCAGGGACTGTGGTCACCTAGCTATCACAGGTGAGTGCTGAGCATTGCCTGTCCCTTTTTGTTATGTAACCTGTGATTTGGAAAGCGACCAAAATCAAAACCAGCCACAGGACCTAGACATCAGAAGAACCATGTTGTCCGGATTGTCAGTTCAGATGCCCTAGATCAACACTTAAGTGTCAGCAAGCCAGCTAGTCTCCATCTCTGTTCACTTTCTCACTCACCATACAGCAAATGAGTCCCTTTCTTCTCTCTACCAATGGACTCAAGACCATGATCCAAAAATATGAGTTTAGTAGGGGCCCTGTTCTCATCCTCTACTGGCCCCCTTCCCCTTGCCCGGCTACGCACCAACTCCCATGCTTCCTTTACCTTCTCTCTTTGACTCTGACCCTTGTTCTTTCTAAATTAAAGAAGCCTTGGAGCTTTATTCTTGGTTCATATTAAGTGTCTGCAGAGCAATTCTTGCATCCCTAAAGTGGTTCTGAGGGTTAGCAGAGTCCAGTCTAATCCAAATCTCTCCGAGTAAAGCTGCTCTTCTCTTTATGGTTGGACATTCTTTTTTTTTTTTTTTTTTTTTTTTTTTTTTTTTTTTTTTTTT